TTTTAATGTTTTTATCCCCTTTTAAAAATGTTTTTTTTTTTTTTTTTTTTTTTTTTACACACTTTTCCAGGTGCCAGTCTGGAGCAGCTAATTATGAAGCAGTACTTCAAACCTATTGATGTGGATTCCATCTTCCAGCCCATTGAGCCACTCAGACTGGAGAACATATTTTACAAAAGCAAGCCACGTTACTTTAAACGCACCAGCTCTGCAGTGTGGCACTCGCCTCCAGCTGGCGGGAAGTGAGACCTTTTTAACTGAGAGCAGTGGGGTGTTTGCTGCTGTATTCATTTTTTTTTTTATCCGTTTCAAATAAAGTTTTCCCAGTGTAACTTGTTTTTCTTTGAGAGGTTTTCTAGTAGTGAGAAAATATGATTTAGTGCTAGTTTAAGTTAGTAATGTAGGGATAAAAACATATGCTGTATTGAGGATGTGGAAAGTTGTTTTGCCTGGTTGCATTTTTAGGCCCAAGCAGTGAAATCACTGCAAAGGCCTAGTGTAGTCACGCTGCTATGATTCTTCCGTCAAATTAATTGGCTTTTTAGAGGCCAACTCACCAAAGTTGGTGGTGTGCAAGAAATTGCATATAGTGGAATACTTTGATGGATGCTATGGAACGTTACCCTGTGTAAAAATCAGGAAAGATTTAGACTTTTTTCCTGCACCACTGCTTGAAGAAAGAAAGTGTCTTCTAAAAACTAGCAGTAGGTTTGGGAGTTTGATTTTCAACTCCAAAAAGTCCAACTAGCTCATCTGTAACAACACCAGCCTGCACCAGAACTCTTCCACCTTGCAAGCACCTGATCACATTTGAGTCTTCTCAAATCTTTGGTGGTTAATTAACGATTTTTTTTTTTTTGGTCAGCATGTTTCTTGTGACCCTGTTAACTATTTGCAGCAAAACGTTTGATATTTCTGTGATCACGCCCCAATATCTTAGCAATCCAAGAGTGCTCCGTCCCTCTGCAAGACTTTTTTATTTTTATTTTGGACTTTTCAATCGCTTAAATCTCTCAATTTCTTTTGGCCAATTTTGCCTGAGGAAAAGAAGCTGCCTAATAATTATTAACACCTTGATATAGGGTGTTGATCTACTTAAATATCTGGAAGTTATAGTGCCTGGTCTGTTTTTATTTTTATTTTCTTATAACAATCTTCATGCTGAATTTGTTGATTTTACTTGTCTAATTTGTAAAATTCAACCAAAAGACTGGAATCACTATACTGTTTATACATGTGGAAATTATTTATGACTGGTTTTAGTGGCGTTTTCACCTCAAATAAATTAAAAGAACATCACTGATTGAGGTTGCCTTTGATATTAGAATCTGATCTAAAGCATTTTAGGGTGACGCTTTACATTATTCTGCAAAGCTTTCACATTAAAGGAAAAAAACGCTGAATTAACTCAATGCTACTTTCATTAGTGTCGCTTAGTTCCTACCGTCAGTGAACGCAACATACTCCACCTCCTGACGTGTTTACGTGGTGGGCGCCTCTGCAAAACGGTGCGGTGACTTTGAGTAACATTCAGGTGGCGTGTATCTCTTAAACCTTTAATATTAAACATATTGAACTGCCATTCTGCCAGTAATTATTACTAAAGTGAAAAAGGGTTGAAAATATTCCAAACAGGTAGGTTTATTTATGCTTTTATTAACAGCTTATGGCGGGTTAGCTTCGCATTGTTTAGCTAGCATAAGTTAATGCTGGGCTTTTCTGTGAGATTTATAAACGTGATTTGAAATCAATGATTTACCAGCTGCAAGTTTAAGATAGAAACCATCCCATAAAGGTTTATTAATAGTTGATAAGCGGTTTGCAAACAGATGCAGGCAATGTTTGCATCAATACGGATGCATCTAAATGTGCAATAAAATATGTGAAGTGACTGTTGTAACCATTATATTGGGATTTTAAAAGAAGTAGACCTTTAAGGCGAAGTAGAAGGTAAAGGTTTCGTGGTGCATTTATACCCCGACACTCCGCTACCTCTTCATAAAATTTTATGCAACTCCATATTCTATCTAATTAGAATATGGAGTTTACCTGTGCTCAATTTAATCTCAAATATAAAACCTGCTGCTTTGCAAAGGCCTCAAAGGTTTGTTGCAGAATATTGGGGAACAAACAGCGTCAACACAACAGACGGGGATTAAATTGTGGAGAACTTTTAAGGCGAAGCAACCGTGGAAATAGTTAAATTACTTGACAATACTGGAAGAAAACCCCATAAAGGCTTTGAATAACTTGAGACTGCCTTACAGCAAGACGGTAAAAACAAAAGTACAACCGGAACCACCATGCAAAAGTTAGTATCAATGCATGTCCATGCATTGAACAGGTTTTGTTAGATTTGAAAACTGATGTTCTGTGCTTTTTGTCCAAACTGCTTGAGTTATTTTGCAAAGAGGAGTGGCTCTAAATATGCAAGGCTGATACATTCTCCGAATGACAGAGAGAAATTGTTCTACAAAAGGGGTTCTGGGAGTGAATGTAAATCCATGCCACACTTTTGATGTAAAAAAAAAAAAATCTGACTTTGCAATCAGGCTCTACTTTGAGTTGGATTGCAACATAAAATCTCAGTGGAATAAATTGACGGTTGTGGTTATAATGTGACAAAGTTCATGGGATGTAAATACTTTTGCTTTTACCATAATGCAAAGTTTGCAAACAATGTTATGGTCTGTCTGTGTGAGACTTGTGTGTGTCACCGGTACAGATAAGTGACCTTTTTCTTCAGATTAGTCCCTTAAATCATCAACATCTCATAAGGACACTGTTTAATTTTTTCTTATTGTATCCTGGTGTGTTTTGTGTTGGATTTGACCTGCAGAAACGTTGACGGTCATTTTCTCATTCATTGTTGTAATCTTGATAGAAATGACTTCCCAAATCCGACAAAACTTCCATCAGGACTGCGAGGCTGCAATCAACAGACAGATCAACTTAGAGCTGTATGCCTCCTATGTTTATCTCTCAATGGTGAGAAACACTTAAAAGCCACTTTTGTTCTGTGTTATTTTAGAGTTACGGTAAGTGGAAAATGTGTTGCTACTTTATTACCCTGTTTTCTCTTTTCTTTAAGGCGTACTACTTTGACAGGGATGATAAATCCCTAGAAAATTTTGCTAAATTCTTCAATGCCCAGTCGAAAGAGGAGTGTGAGCATGCAGAGAAGCTGATGAGTCTGCAGAACAAGCGTGGAGGCAGAATATTCCTGCAGGACATCAAGGTATGCACAGATACTTTTACTAATTAGTGGAAATAAATTATTCTTGTCAGCAGTTGGGTCATTTTTAGAATGTAAAAACCTAATTTCACAACCAGTGGTGCACTTTTGTGTGTCATCATGAATTATTTGTGTGTTAGAAACCCGATAGAGACGAGTGGGGGAGCGGCCTGGAGGCCTTGGAGTGTGCTTTGCAGCTAGAGAAGAGTGTAAACCAATCCCTGCTGGACCTGCAGAAAATGGCAGCGGAACACAATGATCCTCATGTGAGAAACAGCCAAGCAGAACAAGCTTTCAGATCTCTTTGTGTTCTGGCATTTTTCCAATACAACGTCTTTTGTCTTCCTATACAGATGTGTGACTTTGTAGAAACACATTTCCTGGATGAGCAGGTGAAATCCATCAAACAGCTGGCAGACTGGATCTCAAACCTGCGTCGCATGGGCGCTCCTCAGAATGGGATGGCCGAGTACCTCTTTGACAAACACACCATGGGGGAGGAAACCAGTTAAACTGAGTAGCAAATCATCGTCCATCTTCACCTCTGGGGAAGAACTGTGTCAAAATTTCTCAAAATATCATGTCATGTGGCATTATAGCTATTTATGCATCAACCTTTTGTGGCAATATTTAGATAAATATGTGTTTGGAGTTTAGATCATGCCAAAGTAACATTTATCAGTGGTTGTATGATGGAAAGAAAGTTCACCTTCACACCTGGATTAAGACCACCCTACGTTCTCAAGAATTTACAAAACCATTCAAATCATTGTAGTGAGGAGGTATTGAGTGGCTCTAAATGGCAGTCATAGTACTGCGTTGTTAGTACTACGACTCCAGAAAAAAATTAAGAGACCACTTAAAATGATCAGTTTCTCTGATTTTAGGTACATGTTTGAGTGAAATTAACATTGTACTTTTATTTCATGAACTTCTGACATGTCTCTGAAATTCCAACCAAAAGTTTTGCATTTGCAGAAAATGAGAAATTGTCAAAATCATGAAAAAGGTGTAGCGCTTCCAGACCTAAAATAATGCAAAGAAAACAAGTTTATATTCATTTAGAAACAACAATACTAATGTTTTAACTCGGGAAGAGTTCAGGAATCAATATTTGGTGGAATAACCAGGAGGTTTTCAATGGGGCTCAGTGCAGTGGGCTCTTCATTTTTTCCAGAGCTGGAGTTGTTCTTGCTGCATTGTTGGCTATCCGACTGAATGGTGTTGCCACAGGTATTACCGCTACACTAGGGTTTTCCCTCATAATCTGTAGATTTTACCGATAATGGTAGGCAGTTTCTGGTCCTAAATGATCAGTTTCAGTCTTAATGTAGAGGAACAAACTTTATTTTCATCAGCTTTCTGACAGCACAAGAGAATGAACTTGAAGGATTTTCTGTGCTGAACTCAGTGGACCAGTGTAATTATTTTTATCTGAGATACTTGGCAAGTGAAGGATCCACACAGAAGCTCCCCAAGATGGACTTTTTGATAATCACTGAGTTTATTTTTAGAGTTGTGCTGTCTTTATTGTAAAATTACTTCAGAAAGCCTTCTCATCCTTCTCACCGCCCTCCATATCTAAATACAATACCACTAGACATCAATGCAAATTCATTCCATTCATTCTCGACATGAACTTTCAACAATCTCCTTGTTTATATGTGAGGTATATATTTGTCTCTAAAACACTAGGATGTCTCAGACCAGTGTGAAGGAGAACTTGCTGAAAGATATGCATATTTTCCAACTGTAAAATAGTTTCACTTGTAGCCGATGACAGATTGGTTTCTTTCATTACCATTAAAGCCATAACCTGCACTTAGAATTGAATTACAGTCTTAGAAACAAAGCCATAAATTTGTATTCACTATAGACAGTGAAAATAGTAAGTATTTTATTTTTTTCTAAATTGATCTTTTCATTATTTAAAGTGACGGATACCCATGAATCTGAGTAGCTTTTACATCATATATTTTCCAAACTTTGTTCTTTATTGAAAAATATTGTTTTGTTGGTATAATTTCCTCATTTTTGGTCAGTTTCTTCACAACTTTTAAAGTTTGAGTTCAGCATCCTGTAGTTACTTTACAGCAGTGAATATTCTTGTTGTACGTACAAAAAAGCTTGTCTTATGAAAATAAAGCAATAATATTCAAATAATTTATGGGGTTTATTTTTATTTAAATAAACAATGATAAAAGTAGCACAGCATGTTATTTAATATATAATTTAATAGCATACAGATTAGCACAAAGCTAAGAAGAGGGCTATAAACAGTTAAGCTTGGTTTTCAGTAGAAGTGTACAAGTTTGAAATTTCTTACTGGCTCAGTGTCAGTTCCCTTAAGGGGATTTTTGCATAAGAAGTAGGTCAATTCTGAGCTAATTCAGGAAATAGGCTTTAACACAAAGTCCTTAATTTGTAGATGTGGGTTTGACAAAGTCCAGCAATGTGTCATACATATTGATTTCATATTAGAGATGTAATAAGCTACTTTAATGTTCAGCATGACTGGGTGCTGGCCTTAAAACGTCTCTTGGCATCAACAAACTAATTCAAGTCACAAAGAGCTAATTCCTTTTTTACCATAATGTTTCTTGTTACATCACTGATTGAACATAGTTCCAGAATCAAATATATAAAAGGCTTCAAATTAGTTAGTTTTTTCCTCAGTCCTGCTCCCTTTCTCTTCCTTATTCATCCCACCATCCACCAGAACTCCCAGCAGATCCCCCTCAGTCAATGAGATTCCCGAATCATTGGCTGAGTTTTGCTGATTCGCTTCTTGTGAAGGCGCAGATGTAGAAACTGTGTTCATGTTGGTACTCGACCCAGCGCTTCCGCTCCCATTGCTCATCCTCGGATTTGAGGTGAAGTTTCCATGGTTGCTAAAACCACTGTGGCTTGTTCCATTGCAAAGACTTCCTGTTGTGGCAGCGCTGTTGGTGCTTGTTGCATTAATGCTGCCGGAGCTACTGTTGGGATTACAGGGATTTGGTGCCGCTGTGTGAGAGGGGGGAGTGAATGAGAACACTCTTTCACCTCCACCTCCCGTTGCCCGAGCACTCAGGGGTCCTGGCTGGCTGTCAGCAGCTGGGAGGGTGTCTAAAGTGAGGCGAGGGGGCGGCGGGCGTCGGGACAGTAGGCCATGTCCTGGTCTGAGTTTAGATATGGGGCAGAGTTCCGGTGCTGGGTCGGGGAAGGAGAACGCCGGTCCACTCTGCGACTCTCCCTCCCCGCACAACCAGGGAAATGCAGAAGATGGAGGTGGTGGGAGATGGTTGGGTGTGTCCGGAGCCAGTAACTGGGAGCCCACAGTCTGAGGGGCCATGGAGCTGCAGCTGCGTTCCCAATCGTTTTGGGTCCGCCGGGGATGGCGAGGGCGAGGCACTGCCGGGGGCACACAATGAATTGGTGTTTGGGGGCAGCTGTAAAATCCTGGCCTTTCATACATGGGAACAGTGGAGAAGGCGTAGTCCGGATCCCGGTCCTGGTTCAAAGGGTAGCGGGCTTGAGTAGGGGTCGATGGTGCTTCTGGGTGCAAGTAAAGAGGGAAGCGGTTCAGTGGAGCTCCAGGGCGGCGGCGCAGCAGAGGCACCCGGGACGAGCGAGGAAAGTTTGGGGACTGGACGCCCAAAAGACGGCCCAACCCTCCAAGTAGTGGAGTGGTATAGTTGGCTTCTTCATGTTCTTTGATTTGTTCCAAGTTGGACTGGAACTCCATCTCCTCCTTAGGAACACTAGAGGACATCAAGTGCATAATTACCCAGCTGTAATGAATCCTTTGATTGTTTTCCAGGTAACAAACACATTACTTTACCTGATATCTAAAGCCGAACCCATGAAGGAGGGCTTACGGTGTTCAGCACTGGCAGGAGTGTAAGGAGGTTGGGGCTCCGACTCATTCCAGTACATGTCCCTCTCAACCAGTGGCAAGCTGTCGTACATCTCATCCACAGACAAAAGAGACACCTGAGACACAACGGAAACCTCTACAAGTCAAACACCCTAACAGCAGCTGTCCTTTAGATTTAAAACACAGCTGGGAAATAGTTTGCACCTGCAGGTTCCGATCAACTAGCCAGTTTGTTTCAAAGTCATCATCGTCTTCACCAAAAGGGTTTATGAGTTGCTCAGCCACCTGAGACCATCAAAACAAAAGATCATGTTATTGAAAGCTGAAAGTCAGAAGTGATAATAAGCTTTTAGCTTTGCCTCACCTTCAGCCAGCCAACATAGAAAAAAAACTGCAGCAGGGTAAAAACCGGCAGGTAGAAATCCACATCATGTCCCGGATATCCCTGAGCAGGATCCAGGAACTGTCGGCCAATCAGACAAGCCAGAAAGAAGCTGTAGACCGCAACTGTTGCCACCTAATTGAAAGGCATCAGTCATTTGCTTAACTGCTACACCTGTTATTGAGATTCCCGTTGTAGAAAATAAATCCCACCAACCTGAGTGTAGACGAGAGGCAGGCTAATCCAGTCATAACCGTACAACTTCATACACTTTGCCCTCAGGCTGTTCAGCTCCTGAATGGAAAATAAAACAAAATTGGTCCAGTTAAAATGAAGGATGTTTATAAGTTACTTCACGTCTCGCCAACAGGCTGATGACCTACAGTGAGAATGGCTGTGAGGGCCACATCATTGTTGATGCGACCCTCAGTCCGGGCTCTCAAAGCCAAGTTGACGAACCATGTGCAGGGCACCCAGAACTTGTTATGGGGTGAAGGTAGATCCTCCAGGTGCCTCAGTTCCTCTGAGGTCATCAAACCTGAAAGGAAGAAACATATCATGAAGGTGTGTGACTGTGTTCTTTTATGGTATAAAGGCGCGTTGGATGGTTTTCATTTGTAAGCTATTGGATTTCACTGCCATGCCGTACCTGCCTGCACCAAATGCTCAGTGGTTGGAAACCTCTTGTAGACGGCAGTGCTGACAGAGCGGTAGATCAGAACTCCTGAGAGGTTGACGTAGCGCATCAGTGTTCTTCGGGTCAGCCTGGCAGTGTCATCGGTCCCACGGACATGGCCTCCTACTAGTGCTGCCAAACGGTCTGGCCAGGGTATGTTCTCAAACTGACCCCACCAACGGGAAACAACCAGAGTCACATAGAAACCTGTTAAAAAATTTTATTAATTAACATCAGATAAGAATCACAGTTTCAAAGGGCTGTATTATGCAAAATTCACATTTTGCATTTTTTTTTGCACTTCCATTTGGATCTCTGTTACTTCTAAAAACAGACCTAGTATGTAAAAAAAACTCAGCCACTTTTTGGCAATAAGTTAATGTTTTTTGGTGTCTGGAACAAGAGCCGTTTTACAATTTTCCCAAATGTAATGTCTCTGCCCCTCACCTGTTCAAGGAAGTACAACAGTTTACCTTTAAAACCACCAAAACTCACCCAACACAAACGACACAGGGATGAGTTCTGCATAGCGATCACAATATATCGACAGCTTCTCAAACAGCCTCTTCTGCTCACTGCTTAGTAGAAACCTGGTGAAAAAAAAAAAACTAAGTTCATTCATAAGCCGTGAGGGTCTGACCAGTTACCCCAACATGTGTGTTTTTGGACTGTGGAGAGAATCCACCCATGCCAGCTCCACATAGAAAGTCCTTAACTAGGATTTGAACCCATGACCTTTTTTGATGTGAACAGTCCTGCAGAATATCTTTTCAAATTTAATTTCAGTTTCTTGTCAGTGGTTCTCAGTTTGTGTGCTGAAATTCTCATAAGGGGCTTACTGCTTCTGTCAAACATACTTTTCCTTTGAAGAGATTTACACAAGTAGCAACATAGGAAGTGGTCACAAACAAGCTTTTTTTTTTCTCTACATAATCCTATTTTGTCAGGAATGTTTTTAGAAATGTAAGCCAAAACGTCTCTTACATCTGAAACTTTACCTAATATTGACTGTTGTCTAAGCTCTATGCTTAATAATAAAACTATTAACTGCCCTCAATTGTTCAGAACAATGTCTGAACCAGCTTATGAAATGACTGACTATTGAGACTTAGGAAAGATATTCACTCGATTTACGTTCAGGCCGGTTCAAGGCCTCTTAATCCTTAAACCTGCAGGGACTGTTCACCCAGAGGCGCTTCAAAATATCCTTGACTGATGTTTTTTCCGTAACCCTGAAATGTTTTGCTAAAAGACCAGTGTTGACTGAATGCCTGTAAATATGTGTCAAAGTACGATCCTGTGGATCTGCATTTACCCCTTTACAGACTTATTTGCTTTTCTTTTCTCATATGTACATTTCTACATTTCAAACAAATTTTTAAGTCAAAGATAAGGTGAGTAAAAGCAAAAAACAAACTATTTTAAAGAGATGATTTTATTTCCCACATTACCCTTTACTCAATCTGACTGACTATTCTTTTATGTTATGGAGGAAATTTGGCCCACTCTTCCGTGGAACATTTTTCATGTCACTTCTTCTTAGACTGTCTATTTACAAATTTGGAACAACTTATAAGTTGATTCTAAATATTTTTGTGTCCAACTAAAAATAAACTTGTATTTTTATTTGATGATTACATATTAGAACAGAAATACAGTATATACACATACACAGAAATATATTTTAAGATAGCACATCTACATTAAGAGAAATAAAAAAAAGCTCAACCTGTTTCTAAAATGGATTAAAAAAACAAACTGCTGCTGTCAGTGTGAGAGGAAACGCCTGATTTTCTTACATATTTAATAATAATTATTATGCAGAATCCATCAGATTGCAGTAACATGTACTTGTTCCTTGTCTTTCTCATACATATTCAATAACCAAGCATCATATGTCATTATTAGAGCTTTTATCTGCATTCATACAGAATCCTACTACCTTCTTTTCTAAACGAAGGTTTTAAATAATTAACCGACTCCAGTGATTACCTGTAAACGACGCTGAAGAAATAATAGAGCACTGTGAAGATGATGAGCTCTCTGTACAGCAGTTTGTAGATGCTGCCTTTCCATCGCAGCAGCAGGTGAAAAAAGGTCCCCAAACCTGCATCAGCAACTCTCCGAGAGTATGTCACTGTCATTGCTGTCTTTCACTGCTTCTTCTAGACCAATCTGCAGGCAGGATGTGGTCTAACATGAGAGAACCCGATGGACGGAGCGTCTTTGTTTTTTTTTTGGGCTTCGCTTGAGTTCAGCTTCAGTGTTTGAACTGGAACTCACAAGCCCAACCTGGCAACAAATCTACAAAAAACGAACAGACACTTTTATTATTCTAAAGATTTACCTGCATTATGAGCCAATACATTGCTCTAATACAAAACACATTTTATTTAGTCAATCTATCATTAAATAAGTGATTTTATTTCATGTTTTTTCAAATCAATCTGCTAAAACACACCACAAAGTTGCCTTTTAAAGTTCACCTTTCAAAGTTTTACTACTTAACGCTCAGAACCGACTGATGCACTCACCAGTATGAAAATGAAAACACCTGGCCATCCTACTTGTTGTTGCTCGAGACGTGGGACGGCAGAGCCCAGGGACAATGTTGTAAACGGCAAAGAAGGAAAGGAAAATGTAAGCAAGGCTCTCCCACACCTCCGGTCACTTGATGTGTTAATCTGTCTGTGCAACAAAGCTGCATTGTGAGGCCAGATCCTGCTAATCTGAGCAAATCTGAGCACCACACTGCTGCCACAAATAGACATGAATGTCGAGTGCTATGATCTGACACTGAGGAGCATATCTTTCATGTTGTTAATTCATACACACACATATAAATTTGACTATACTAAAGAAAATACTGAACATATCGTTATCTCTGAAAGAACACTTGATTTGTTTGACTGAAGCGGCTTTGAGCCTTCAGGTGAAAACTAAGTTCGGCCCCCTCAGCTGGAAGAAATGTGTACAGCTGAGTTGCTACTGGTCAGCAGAGGTTAGCGATTAACCCTTCCTGCCAAACCAGGAGACTCAGATCAGGGCGAAGTGCGGCGAGTTTGGTGAGTTAAACTCACAGGATTAACTAAGCAGAAAAGTGCTGTTTTACAGAATTTTGTGCTCTGGCAACAAGAAATCATGCTGGTGAGTATTTACTTTGTATCTTTTAGTTATAAAACTATTTCAAACATGCAGATTTAGAGTGTTTTACAAGTGTTATCTGGAAGAAAATGTATTCCTTTAGCATAACTCGTGAAGAAAAAAAGTGTTTCACCCTGTCGTGTGGATTTTAAGGTATTGTTTTTGACTTTCTTCTCTGTCAAGTACTAAAAAAACCCACAGACATCAGGTACAGCCAGCTCAGTTTCAACAATTTGCCGAAGTAAGTCTTCACAAAGGAAAACTTGCTGCTTCTCACTTGGACTGCTTGGGAAAGAGAGAGAACCACATGGATGCGTTCGAGGGAATTCACAGTGTCCGTATTTCCTCATCTCCGCCGACTTCAGCCTCATCCACCCCAGGGTATGAAGTCCTGAAGGCAGGCCGGTCGGGAATAGCAGTCTACTCCTCTCCAGTTTTCTTTGGGACATCTGCAGTCAAACACCAGTCCAGCAGGGTCACTGCGGAGGAACGCTGTGTTGTTGGACAGTAAGTGTCACTTTCCGAGCAAACCGTGGCAAAAAATCTGCAGAAGGGAACTTTTTTTTATTTGCTTAAATGCCAAAATTGAAAGTCTATACTAACATGGCAGTGACAGTATTTGATAAGGGCGGTGTGGCTTTCTGCCCAGGGCGGCACATCACATGGAGGGCAAAAAATAAATAAATAAACAAAGATTATTCAAGTTTCTGTTGGTTATTTGGATGTTCAGTTAGTGGAAATAAAAAATGCCACTAGGTTGTGTAAGCACTGTAAAGACATCCTGCTGTACAGCAAGAGAGGTATGCTTTCACATAGCAGGTGGTGGGCGGTGTGCTCTGCTTAAAAATCTATTGTTGTGTTTGTTCCACAACAGAGCGAGACTGTGCCGCGTCAAAGTGAGTGACGTGTAGAGAGCTATGCACTGTTGAACATTTTAAACCAAAATGACGTCACGCCTCAAATCAGAAACAACTTTGCTCAGGGAAGAATCAGCCTCAGCCTCAATATCTCTTGCTTTTTTTTTTAGCACAATGAAAAAACGTGGGAATCTAAGTTTTTGAAATAAAATGTGATTTTAAAGTGGGATAGGCAGTGAGTGCTGTATGAGGCTATGTCTTTCTGGTTATATGTTAATATTTCTGATAATTAGACATTGAAGTAGATTTTATTTCCACTGAATGCTGTTGTGTTGGGCCCCAGAAGGAGATGCTTGCCCAGGGTGCCAACTATATGGTTCCCTCCATTTATTACAAAACAAATGGAGTTAGGATTGATCAAGCGTCTTTGAGCCGGTTTATGGCTCTGTAATCCTTGCATGGCACTTTTTTTCTTTATGTTTGTGGTTTTCACCTTGATATTAAAGTTTAGCATTAAACAATAAATATCCTGAACTTGAAATGTGCTTTAAAACTTCGCCTAAAGTGCAGTTTTGTACTGTGACAGTGTCTGTGTCTGCTGGGATGAGTCTGACGGGAAACTGGGAGTGGAGGTGCCGTCATGTGACCAGAGAGGAGGGCAGGAGAAGAGGAGAAAGTTGTTTTCTGTCTAAGGAAATTATTATTATTTTACAGGACCTGCTGAACGGTACACTAGGAACGTATTCAAGGCCAACCTGCTGTACCGTTTTTCTTTGCCTTTTTTTGTTTTTGTGTCCTGCTCCTTCACTGCTGCTGCTTGTTCTTCTTCTTCTTCTTCTTGTCGACGTCAGCGTCCGCATTCCTCCGCTGTGATTTAAAACGGCTGGGATTAGTTTCAGCGAAACTAGCTACCCTTAGCTCACTTTGTTCCGCCGTTTATTTGTCTAACAACGAGAAGCGTGGGGGGAAAAGGAGGAAAACGGGAGGCTGACACGCGTGAGGACATCAGTGGGGTTTGTCTGCTGTCCTGGACTCTGACAGGGTAAGGCTGCCTGGGTATTAAAGATTAAAGAATCGGGACTGACGGCTAACTAGCTCAGACTGCTTCAAAACCTTATTGATCCATTCTTTGACTCAAACTTGGAATTTAAATATTTCTAGAACACGACATTCAAAGGCTGCGAATGCAAAATCAAAGTTTTCCAAACTATGGTTCGGGGTTCCTCTCTGGTCCGAGGCTGGGGGAAAGGACGCCAGATATTAAAGCTAGAACATGTCAGAAAATTCAATGGGTTATATGTCAATCCAGGCTGTTTCATCTAAAGAACACTTCAAAAATGCTGAAAAGAAATCCAGATACTCAAATGATACATGCATGATGCAATCATGTGTTCAGGTTAAACATTAAGACGGTTACGGTGCTGTAAACGCTGAAGTTGCTCCAGGTCAGTTCACATTGCCACCAAATGAGATTCACTTTGTTGCTCTCACACCTCTAAGGAAATCATGGTGTTGGTGTATTTTTTTTCCCCACACAAATGACAATTGTCATTTTGTATTTAAAAAAAAATCCCCAAATCCCATTTAATTTAATTCAGTTATTTTTATAGGGACTTTGTACATAAACATCAATTGTAACAAACAAACGGCAATTTTTCATTGCAGTCCACTGCATGGAAAAATTGTGCATTATCTGAAAACTTCATATTACCCTTTATTCTCAATTTACTTTTGCTCTAAATCCCTATTTAGGCCAGTTGATTCTAATTAAACGTGATAGATTGTAAGCCCAGACCAAAACACTGTAACAATGAGTGATATTTATTGAAGTCATGAAAGGCACATTTTCTTATTAAACTCAGAATTACAATCATTCTAGGAGTAGATTACAGTTATCTCAGTGATATCACAACAAAAATAATGTTGCTGGTTCTGATGCAGAAAAACGCTGAAAACTCCAGAACCTTGATCATCCCAGTATGCATGCACTATTCAGAAGGAATGAGGGGGGAGGGGGGAAAGAGATAAATTATATTTTATGTATGCATGCCTTCTCAATGTGAACATTTGAAACTGCAGCCTGGGATACAAAATCCCCTTTTTTCCTTTTCTGTTTTTGTTTTTGAGGGCACAACAGCTGAAGCATAATCAGTGGTCTGAAAATGAGTTTTAAGTTGATTCTTAAAGCTGGAACAAAGAGTTCCTATTGAAGATGCAAACTCACAGATGGTGTGAAATGTGCTCTGACTGAGTTTTATTTACTGTCACAAGAAGCTGGTAGCCAAATGACAGAAATAAAACTGTAGAACATTCAAAATTCATGTAAATATAAACCGCGTTTTTCATTCTAGGGTATGAGTATTTAAACATATCGGTTCAGTTATGTAATCACAATGTAAAACATGTGCAACTCTCTCATTTTGTCTCGGATATGCACAAATGTCCTAAAATATATAACTTTTAATGGAGACTAGGTGGCCCAATATAACCTTTTAAAGCTTTTCTATAATCTCCCTACCATTTTCATCATTGTGCTTGGTGGTGAGATGAACCAGATTTCTGATCTAGCCTCATTTGTCACTATTCCAATTACTTTAATCTTTTTAATTAACTCTTTGATAGTTGAATCTACAGAAGTTTCTGTTCCTGTCCCAATCTTCTGATCATTACATATCTGTTCAAACTGTTCAGTTTCAAAAAGTGTAAAGCACTAGAACAAGTCAAACCTTTTCAGCTTGATAAAGTCGGGATTTATCACACTGTGCAATGGACGATATCAGGCTGTACAAACTGTTACTGGAGCAGAATCGCGTCATAAAAGACCCATTAGTCCAACAATGAAAGGAAAACGAGTTATGGGTGTTAACGATCTTATTAGCGCTGACTCTGAGAAGAGTGAGATGAGGAGAGGGAGCAATAATCAGACGTCTGTCACAAGAGCACTCACACTCCAAGATTGTATTGTAGGTTGTTTAAGGTCAGGAGAATACTGTCACACTGAATGGAGACATATTAAAGGAAAACGTTGAAATTTTCTGAAAAAATTTCCTCCAATCAGAACCTTGAAGAAGGTTGTGTTTTTGTGTATCTCGTATTTTAAAAACTGAGAGAACTGCGCCTCTGTATCACGTCATTGTTATTTCTCAGGGAAACAGGAAGTCATGGCTTTCTAATTAAATACGCCAATCAGTTTAAAGCAAATATAAAAACTTCAGCTCTGTTTATTTTTTATGAACTCCGAGGAGTAATTGTGGCAATAATTTTGTTTAAATAATCCCCGTCTAAATAAATGTGCTCAACGTTCAGTGTGAGAATATGCCACTGCAACAAAAATAGAATTTATATTACAGCTTTTTTACACATCTTTATACCAGATATCCCAGCAACTGTTGTATATTATCCGTTGATGTAAGTAGGTTAGTAAGGGAAAACGTGTTCCTCTTTTTGAGCAGTTAAGGTTTCTACAAATTATTGAACTCCATGGCTGTAGATATAAGAACACCAGGGCTAGTTTTCTGTATTTCAAATAATTTAATGACGCCAAATGTTTGGAGGTGGTAAATAAAAATCTTTCTGAAACGGCATAACGCAATCTCTTTCTGCACAAGTACTCAACACAACAACATATGTTTCCTATTCCCCTTTTACGTTGGTATTTTTCTGAAGAGTTTATGATGTTGTGTTTTTTGCAGGTTGGTAGATCTGGATCCGGAGCCGGTGACCGTAGTGGAGGGAGGAAGCCGGGATGGGCCCGTCTCAGGCAGGCCGCACGGCGATCTCTGCCGGCTCCGCAGCTCCTCACTGGAGATTAAAGAAAAAGAAATCAGAGAGAAGGGGTCAGAGATCCTCCGGGAACAGCTGGACGCAGCAAAGAGGGTATCGTAACCTAGTGTTTGCACGCGTGGGCATACCAAATATAGTCCAAAATGGGTGGGAAGGAAAAGCTGACCATGCAGATGTTCTTCGCAGTAAAATGTGTTTCTGTCGTTTGCCTCTTCGCATCTCAGGAACTGAAACTAAAAGACAAGGAGTGCGAACGTCTGTCGCAAGTCAGGAATCAGCTGGAGCAGGAGCTGGAGGAGCTGACTGCCAGTCTGTTTGAGGTCAGCAGCGTTCGCCGCTTTCTGCTGACTGGACTTTAACTCTGCTAGCTGCTGACTGGGAGCCGCGTTGTTTCAGTTATGGAATGAGTGCAGACGCTGGCGTTTCAATCTGCATACATTTATTTACTCAGTATTTCTCAGGAGAAAAAAAAAAAGGGTCATCAGCAAAAAAAAAAATTTAAATGCTGGAAAAATATAGAAACGCATTGACTTGTTTTATTCATGTGGTGACTTTATTTCGACAGGAAGCCCATAAGATGGTGCGTGAAGCTAACGTGAAACAAGCAGGGGCAGAGAAACAGCTGAAGGAGGCTCAAGGAAAGGTGTGCCAAGTTATTGTTATAAGTTATAAATGAGGCCTTTTGTCCACTTTACTCTCCCATTTCACACAGTTAGTGAACATTTATGTCTGGATTTTGTTTCCCAGATTGACGTTTTGCAAGCGGAGGTGACTGCGCTCAAAACTCTGGTGTTGACGTCCACCCCTTCCTCACCGAACCGGCAGCTGCATCCCCAGCTGCAGTCGTCGGGCTCCAGGGGTTCCCACAGGCGCGGCGCGGGCCACATCCGCACCAGCAGTGTCGGCGCAGCCTTCCAGACCTCTTCTGGAAAACCGGAACCTTCTACTGTTTCCATTCAGTCTGTGGCCACAGAGGAGCGAGAGGTAAGTGGGAGAAACTTTTTTTTTTTTCTCCAGAACTTGCGCATTCCTTTTTTCCTCTAGCTTCATCTCCTTTTCAGTCAACTCTGTCGCGTAGAGCTGAGTTCTCTTCTAGTCTTCCTTCTGCAGCCACTAACCTCTCCCTGACCTGTTCTTCCTGTCTGCCGCTGGTTTTTTCTTCCTTTCTCAGCCTGCTGTTCCTGCTCTCCTCTCTCTGATTCTCTGTCTGCTGCCAGGCCAGCCAATCAGTGTAAATGCTGGCCAGGACCAGGGAGAGGGCATAGGAACTGATAGCAAACAGGTAACCTGCTCGTAAGACATTCATTCGCTATACTGTAGTGCACATGTGTTAAACTCAAGGCCCAGTCCGCCACAGCGTTTTATGTTTAGATTTAAAAAAATTATGTTTTCAATCAAATCAATGCAGTTTTTATCTGTTTAATGTCTAATTATATCAATCGGTCCCTCTGGTATTTTGAGAACTATAGTGGAAATTCACACAAAATAAGCAAATCCTCGCACATACGTAATTGGGAGTTTACTGCAGATTTTATTCAAAAATTGTCAAAAATGTTCTTACTTGTACTAAACAGCTGCCTCCACTTTAATTGATGTCAGATTATAGTCCAAGATCTATACGAGTAATAAAATACTCTCATAAATAAGTGCAAATATTTCCAAATTAGTTCCAGAAACTCTTTGATTTTTATTGCAAAAAAAATCACAAAAAAGTATCATGAAATCCTGGATGGACTGAAAAGATGTTCAGTATTATTACTTAACTTTAAGAATTCATTGATATTTTAACAGTTTGTGAATAGGTTTTATCAACACATTCTGGCACAACCGGCCCTTTAAGAGCATTCATGATCCTGATTTGGCCCAAACCGAAAATGAGTTTGACACCGCTGCTGCAGTGTGTCATGTGTTTGCGAGTGTAATTTTTCTAGTTCCAGGTTTTTAAATGCATCATTAAAAGTTTAAGCCTTAAGGATCACAAAGAGAACACATGGGAAACATATTTTGCTATTAAATCTAAAAATTGTCCTCAGAACCTTTTAATAATGGCTGGCTGAACATCCTACAGTTACGTTACCATAGCAATATCGCCTGTTTTTTTTGTTTGTTTTTTTTTTGTCAACGAAAGCTTAATACGAGCATCATGGAGATCTGTGACATCAACGATTAAAAACGAGACGCAGATATTAGATAAAAGGAACAGATGTAATGTTAGTCGTGTGGAAAGCAATTTGGAAAAGTAGCTACTGAGGCTGAGTGCTGCTGAGCAGAGATGAAGGTCATGTGATTCCAGTGAAGGATTTCATGATTAAAGAGGAGACACGCTTCTGGACTGACGTAAAAAAAACAATTCCTCCACACTGCTTCACACTTTCAGGAGCTTATGGTGCAGAGACGCCTGGGAGAACATCCTCCTGAAATAAATGCAAAGCCAAGATTCTTAATTTAATGTAGAATCTTTATTCGATTTTTAGTTTTTGAAACAATGTCAATTCTGTTCCATTAATAACTTTCCTTACAAACATACAGAGGTCTACAAGGGCATTTCATTCTGAATTAATATATTATGGATGGTCAAAAGGGACTAAAGTAAACAAATGCATCATTAAAACATTGATTAAATACACCATAGAACAAGTGTTTTAATTAAATGTTTAAATTAAGTATTTAATAAACAATTTATAAAGTGTTATTAAATTGTTCAATTCAAACATAATTGGATCCTTTAAGCTGTTACTGTTATGTAACTGAGGACTACCAGAACCTTGAGTCCTTCCAAGACTTTGCCATTATTTTTGTGATCTTTTTTAATTTATTTATTTTTTTTGCTATCAAAATCACAGATTTTGTGATGCTACTCTAGAAATATTTGCAAGGAATTTTTTTTATATTTTTTCCCCTCTCTAAGCCCCTTCCAAAATATAGGGAAAGAAAAGAGATGAAAAAAATGAGAAAACAGATTGGACGCAAACATTTTTTATTTTTTAGAGACCTGAAATAACTAAAAGTTAACATCACGTCATACATACTGCCACCTACAGGTGGGAGTTAGCACTGACTTAAACCCAAAGTTTTGTGTGGAAAATTTGTAATAAATTCACAATTATGCATTAGCACAAAATAGTGTTTTTTTATCTTGCCACACAAATATATTCTTTTAAACATAAAATGATTAATTTTTTCATGTAAACCTTTTCTATCTCATTCTAACTTGCCAATTAAAGGAGCTAATGTACATTGTCGCTTCATGACTCAGGTAGTCGGTTCACTGACTGTTTGCGATTGTTTGGTTCCTCTCTGCAGATGGACTCGGTTCTGTTTGCAGAGTTTTTGTTGTGGAGGGAACATCCGAGCCTGGACCGATCCTCCGCCTTCCTGAGCCGAGTTTACCGCGAAGACATCGGGCCGTGTCTCTCCTTCACGAGATCAGAGGTCAGAGCCTCGCTGCCTCCCTTACAGAAGCCAAACGTTGCTCCTCTCATGAATATGTGGATATTTGACTGGCTGTTTTCCACAGCTGTCCCAGCTGGTCCAGAGAGCAGTGGAAAACAACTCCCTGACCGTCGAACCTGTGGCCATGTCGGCTTTACCGGTGGTGAAAGCATCGGCTTTAGAGTGTGGAGGTCCTAAGTGAGTTTGCTTGTTTGTAGCGATTGCCGTTCTGTCCTGTCCTCTGTTTCACTACCTGGTGGTTAAATCATTATCACCGTTTTTGGTTTGGCCTCACTCACTGATGATTTCTGTAGCTGTAAGTTTTGCACTCTGTTATCGGTGAGCGGTTGAATCCTTGGGCACACTAATAGTCACCGTCTCATCTATAATCTTTGTCTTTTCCAGTGGATTTAGGGCTTCAGTAGAGACGTAAGTCCTCTCAGGAATCAGTCAAACTTTATAATTTGCACTAACTTGTGTTTTTGTCTCCTCGTCCAGATTTAAGTGTTAAAAATCCAATCTTTAAACTCTGCATGCCTTTGCAGTCTACGACCATTTCCTTATCTTTCTGTGACTAACTCTGTGTTAGTGTTTATCTTTTCGTGAATGTCTTTTAAAATAACTCATCTCTGTTCAGAAGAAGTACTTGTACTGTTTTAACTTTTTCACATTTTGTCATTTCACAATCAGACTTGATTGTATTATATTGGGATTGTATGCGACACACTGGCACAAAGCAAAAGTGAAGACAAAGGATACATATTTTGGTTCCTTTTTTCCTAAATCTGAAAAGCATGGCTTGGATTTGTGTTCAATCCCTTTTATGCTGATACCCTTAAATACAATTGAATTATGTTATATTAAATACAGCTGTTCAGTTAAGAAATAAGAGGTTTGTTCAAGAACATTATTGAACAAACAGTAGACCATTAATATGTGGCCATTTTTATAGCAGATTTAGGTTGTAAAATGTAAATCTGCTATAATATCCCGAGCTTTAAACACCTTATTCAGGCCAAGATGACCATGGAAACTCTGCAGAGTAAGTACATGTGTAAATTTAACAGGACATCAGCTGTATGCACCACAAACCTGGCCTTTGTGGAACAGTGGCGAGTAGAGAAACACTGTTGAAACGGCATAAGAAGTTTCATCTAATGTTTGCCACGCAGGTGTATAAATCACCCCAGAAATTGTGGAAACTGTCTTTTTATTTTCTACCACCTCACAATTATGCTCCACTTTGTTTTGGCCGTCTCATAAAATCCCAACAATTCTTCAATTTGTGGTTTCAAAGTGACAAAATGGTCAAAAAGTGCAGAGCTTTGACGCTCTATTAAATACTGACTGTCGACACTGTTGAAATGTCTTAACAGCTGATTTGTCTGCTTGTAGAAAATGCGCTTTGAGCGGCTTGTCACGAGTCTGCCAGCATCGCATCAAGCTGGGAGACAAGGGGAGCTACTATTACATCTCTCCATCAAGCCGAGCTCGGGTAACCGCTGAGAGTTATTCTCAAAACTCAATTAGAAATCGTTGCGTTGGCGCCGTGGAGAGCTGCAGAGTTTAAATACTTATCTTTCCAGATCACGGCTGTGTGTAACTTTTTCACGTATATCCGGTACATCCTGCAGGGCTTAGTGAGACAAAATGGTAAGTTAACACATACGCATTCCTTTTTGGAGCTTTGTCTTGCTAACTTTGATCTCGTCTGATGGCGTATTTTTCCGTCACCTTTCAGCGGAGCAGATATTCTGGGAGGTGATGCGACTTCGCAGAGAGATGACCGTCGCTAAGCTGGGTTTCTACCTGACGGACCAGGGCTAAATGACTTCCCAGCCAGACTGAGTCCTGATTAGAGAAGTCTGATTTCAGTTTGCGACCAGATTGTACATCGTTAGTGAAGGGAAGCAGGAAATGTGCTACGTTTTGGGAATGTGATGAGAAAATCAAACCACCTGCTGGATTACGACCTGAAAATGATTATGGGGTTATAGCGGCGGTATGCCCCCTATTGTCGCCACTTATGGGCTCCATTAGGAAATGAGAAGGATATTATCTTCTAAAGAAATGTCCTGCAGAACTTCTTATTGGAGCTCAACAGATGTATTGTTACAGAGTGACCCAACAGACCAGAACCACTCCACGGAGTTTGTCTCTTACTTGAAAAACTCTGCGACATTTGTTTCTCACAGAAATGCAAAGCTCAACTCCTGCCTGCATTCAGGTGACATACAATTCGACACGTCTTCCTACGTCTTCGCAGTCTCTGGTGTGTGCATGCACTTCCTGCTCTGCATGATAACATCATAAACTAGTCACCTTCAGCCTCTTGCAGCTCCATGTGATTCCTTCATTTAATCGGACGTGTTCTCATTAATCACACCTTCACTCTCAGCAGGCACAGCTTTTACATTGTACAGAAGATAAGAGCTTTATTGCAGTTAATTACAATGCTTCAAATGTACATTTGCACTCTTCAATGAACAGTACTATAAACAAGCCATAAATTACATAGCCATATTGGATCATGATTTACCTCTGAGTGTAAATTTGTTATAGTAGCCCACTTTTGTTTTGAACAAAACATGAAGGATTTATTGTGCAATATTTGCTTCTTAGCCAAATTATTGTTTTTTTTTAAAGTCAATGTAATGATGAGTAATAAACAAAGCACTGTTGCTTAAATGTGTGTTAATGACAGAGTTGTTTGTTTCACTCGGAGCGGGTCACTGGTTTCCTTTCAGGTTCATTTGTAAGAGCTGCCTGTCAGAGCAGGCCAGAGGTATAAGCAAACTAAGCGATACACTGGGAAAATATGGAATTGTTAATGCAACTTTATTCCACGTCTTGTCCTTCTGCCTTTTGTTGGATCCTTGTTCCCTACCTTCTTTTTTGTGCTCTTTATTCTTTTATTTGTGTCTTTATGTCTTACCTGCCTCTCCACCCTCCTCTTTCCTTCCTTCCTTTCGACCGGCCGTCCTTCCTTCTTCCCTGCACCTTTCTATCCTTTTAATTTTTTTTGTCCTGGTTCTGCTTCTTATTTTCTACCTCCACTTATTTCTTGTGTCCCTCCTTGTTTCCTTCTTATATAGATATTTCCATTAGATGCTAAAGCTGTAGAAACATTTACCCTAAATTCACAGGAGCCCTGTCGTATTTTATATTTTGAGGTAAGTGCAAATGATTTGCCTCAAGCTCTGGAAATCTTTAGAAAAGTCTAGAATTTTGGCCAGAAAATTTGTCAAAACCATAAACTTTCAAATTTGATTTCAAATGTTTTCTCACAAAAAATAACTACGTATGTACTGTGAGCATAAAAAGGAAAAATGTCTCCATTCTGGACATTGATTCATAGTGTAACATAGAATCTCAATAAGTAATTGCAGGTTCACCTCTTTTAAGTACAGCGACTTAATCTTGACCCCACCTTCCTTACTCCACCTACAAGGAGTGTTTAAATATCGCGTCATAGAAACATTAAGGTGTAGTTTCACCTCAACAGCTTGAAAAGGAGGGTAGAGTAGCCAAAAATTGCCCTCAAGTAAAAGTAAAATGTCGCCGTCCAAGAATATTACTGAACAGTAAGGAAGTATTTAGTAAAAACGCTGCTCAAGTACTGAGTAACATCTGATTCAAAATGTCAAAGATATAAAGTTATGTGCAAAAAATTGATACAAATGATTTCAAAATAAATTTTAAGCAACACTGTATTATTACTCAAGAATAAGAAGTTAAGCTGTTCCCAAAAGCAATACTTCATGTGAAGTTTTACCAAAAAGTAACTCAAGTAAATGTAACTAGTAACTGTCTCAGTTTGATTATAAGTATTCCTTTGTCCAAAATTCTGTTGGTTAAATAAATAATGCAAAAATGACATACAAAGTGGTGAATTGGTTAGCTCCATAGTCAAGCGTGGACAATATGGCGGACATGTTTGTGGTGCCGTGAGGTGTCAGGCCGCCTCTTCTCTCCGGTCAGCCTGACAGGAAAACACTCTGGCCCCACGGTTGCCCAACAGGTTTGTAAGCGGTAAGCAGGCTCAGTCACACTAAGACTAGGAAATCTGTTTTTGGAGCAATCACTCCTGTAAGGTTTCCAGTTTCCGGATTAAAACGGCTTCTGTTTTCGTGACTTGTTTACACAAACCGCCGGAGACGAGTACGAATAGTTTGGCCCGGGGTTTTATGAATGGACGCCGTCGTAACGTGGGGACAAAACGTGACATCACACGTGGGGAGGGGCTTACAATTAAACGACAACTTGTTCAGACACTTAGTGAAAACATTATTTATAAATGGGACAAAAATTTTCCATCAGAGTAGTCAGATTAATATCAAAACAAATTAAAAGAGGTCAACTTTTCTCCTGGCTACATTCAGCAGAGATCAACTCTTCAGACTTTGGAAAATATCTGCAAGAAACAAGTTAATTGACATTAAATCAAAAGTGTACACAACATTTTAAACTGTATTTTATTACGCTTTGATGCCACAGACCAAAGTAGCATTTGTGAAGTGGAAGGAAAATAATAAATGGGTTTCATCATTTTATATATGAGGCTTCATTTTACTTCAGTTACAGCTGGAAGTGTTTGGGGGCGTTCTGCCTGCTTTGCACATTCAGAGAGTCATTTTTCTCTCTTCTGCTTTGCAAATTAAAAAATGTTCGGCAAAACTTGATGGAGAGCGTCTCTGAAAAATAATTCTCATCTGGATTTAATTCTCTAAACTCTGACATTTCAAGTTAGCAGGTTTTTCTTCCAGGATTCCTTTTTAACAGCGCCATCCATCTCTATTTGACTCTAACATGGTTTCCCTCAGCACAATATGTACCACAACAGGAATAAAGTGTGTCCAGGTTGATTAGAGATGTAGCTAAAAGGGTGGATTGTGTTTTTTATTAGGTGATTTCTGAGGGAAGTTGATTTTGCTATAATTCCTGCAAGCGTAACAGAGTAAAGCTCAATACACTCCTCCCCTTTTTTCCACCCACTTCACATGTGTTCACTATCTTGTGTTGATCTAGTAATTTGTTGTAGAAAAAAAAAGTGAAAACCTTTGCGAGAAAAACTACACGAGATCTTTTCCAACATTTGCTAGCTCACCTTCGATAGCAGAACAGGAGCAGCAGCAGGCCGGCTGCGCCAACCATCACCACCATCACTGCAGCCACGATGGAGACCGCAGACAGCGGGGAGCGCTCTGCGTCACAGCGGTTTGGGATTAGAACCGACACACGTTCCTAATACGTCCACGTTTTCATTGTTCTGAACTGACCTGAGCAAACGAAGGAGCCTGCCGTGTTAAAGCATTCCAGATGTTGTGGACAAGAAGAAATCAGATCCTCACACTCATTAATATCTACAAGGAAAGATTTGAACATATATAATGCGTTGTATCAAACCAAAATTATACAGAGACAGTTAGACATAAAATAGTAATCAAAATTCCTTTTTTCAATACATTCAGATCTAAATGAAGTTATATATGTAGTTCAGTTGTTATTTTGGTATTTAAAGAACTGAATAAAGCAACAAAAAAAAAAATCTACTAAAAAGAACTTATGCACTGAGTTATGAGATTATTGTTACCTTTTCTCTGTAAAAGAATCAATTATATATATATATATATATATATATATATATTTTTTTTTTTTTTTGCTCTTTAACACTGTTATTATTTTATATTTTAGTCCATGTAACTATTTCAAAAATGGACTTTGTATACCATATTTTCCACACTGTAAGGCGCACCGGATTATAAGGCTCATAGAATAGACGCTACAGTAGAGGCTGGAGTTTCGTTATGCATCCACTAGATGGAGCTGCACTAGAGTGAATGTCAACAAAACAGTCTGACTCCGGTCGGTGAGGAGAGCCTTCTGCGACTGGGCCGGTCGTGGCCAGCATGTTGGTTTGGAACGTGCTAAATGACCTGCAGATGACCTGATTATAGACGGTTGTAGGTAGATAGGTTAGTCAAACTTTATTAACAAACCAGCGTTCTGACAATTATCCCAGGATGCATAGCGCGCTTCTTCTTCTAAGGGAGAAAATGAAGTCAGCGGCTGCTTACCGTAGTTGCTAGATCTGTTGTGGCTCAATATTGGCGCACCGGATTATAAGGCGCACTGTCGGCTTTTGAGGAAATTGAAGGTTTTTAGGTGCGCCTTATAGTGCGGAAAATACGGTACATAAAATTCTGCCTCTTAAAAATAAAACTGGCACATGCTGCCTGTCGTACTTCAATCCTCCATCTGAGGGTGTAATCTAACGACAGAATTAGACACAGCAGGGTTTTGAGGAAAGCATCAGCTTTGTTAAAGCGGCCTCACAAACATTCTTGTTGGGTTATGTGAACCATTTGCAGAAATGTTTCTTCTACCTCGACACGTTGGAGGCGGCGAGCTCCACTTCTGGCTCTCTGCGTCACAGCTGATGGATGCAGAGCCCAGCAGCCTGAATCCAACCTGACACTGATAAAGGATCGTGGAGTTGCAGAGCAGAGAGTAGCCAGAGTGAATCCTGGGTATCGGGCCGCAAATGGGATCTGGAGGAGACAAGAGTTTTATAAACATAAAAATACAGATTTTCTTTTCTTTTCCCCACTTCCTCACCCGTGTCAGGCTCTTTCCAGGGGCCGAGGTCGAGATGGGGGATGAGCGGGTGGGAACAGGCCAGCATGTCTTCAGGGCTCTCGCTGCGTGAAAACGGGTCCACAGGGACGCGGCTGATGTGGCTGTTGTCGCAAATGATGCGGGACAGTGAGACGTTGTGCAGGTGTCTCCTCTGGGTTCTGGTGAAAACTCCATTTCTCTCCCACCAGAACCTGGATGGAGAAAAACAGATCAAACTCTCCCCTTCTCTGTATAATCACTCTAAGGCTCTTTTGACTCAGACCTGTCGCCGTCTCTCAGTGCTCTGAACTGTCTGGTCAGGAGGCAGGACAGGAGCGGTCCCACTCGTCCTCCGGGCAGTGCCGGCTCAGATATGGCCCCGACCCACACGTCGATGTTATGCGGGGTTCCGTATAAAAGCTCGAATTTACGAGCCAAAGTGAAGTTCCCCAAAATTTCGGCCAGATCTGACATCGTGTTGGGAACAGAGAGATTACAGAACTGGCGCCATGCACCATACCCTGATGGATGAGAAGAGCATAAGATGAGAAGAATACATTTCAAACACAAAACAGAGACTTGTGAATACCTATGCATGATTTTGGATTTTTGGTCGATATCCAATTTGCTGAATTACTAAAACCCATTTGACCGATAAACTACAATACCGATATTTGTTTCCCTATACCTACTTATTGGAAACATATGGTTTTATCTACTGTGGAATTAAAATACTACATTATCTTTGTCAATTTAGCCTGCTACCAAATGCAAATGCTAAAAAGAAGGATGAAAATGATGTAACACTTTCAACTTGCATTGCTTGATCTCAAATTTATTCATGACGTTTGCTATTTCTAAGACAACGACAATGCTTAAAAAGTGTAAATTTGAAGTTGTGCTGCAGGCATCATTTTTACTGGTTTGTCATATGAAAACAACGCCTTTTATATCGATGAGTTATTTTGACAGAATGGCCAACATCTGATATTAAATTTTACAGCTTACATCGGCCGATACATGCCGATAATATTGTGCATATTTCCAAGTGGGGAAATAGTTTCCCTCCTTACTTAGCAGTTTAAATGTTGACTAAACTTTTTGATTGCTTGATTTTGGTCTCAAAGTAATGCGATAAAGAAGCCACGCTCTGTGTCTGTGAGGTGAGGAAGCTGGTTACCGGGCAGGCCGTGGTCCCGGCCCCTCTGCAGGTTCAGGGCCCCGAGGTCCAGAGGCATCCCCCCCTGTGCCTGAAACAGCCTTTCTGTGAGCTCCTCCACCATCATCTGACCTGCAGTCTGCAGCTTGGCGGGAGACAGCAGCATGCCTCGCAGCACTGGGTCGATGCCACCTAAACAATAACCACAGGAGGGAATGAAATACAAACACTAAAACTTAACTAACATGGTTTCAGAAAGGACCTTGGTTACCTTCCTGTACGACCCTCCACGAAGCGAACAGAGAGTGATGCAGAGGCAGAGGGGGATACCCGGGGTTAAAGGTGTAACCTGGACCCAGACGCGTCACTACTGGCTGAATGGTGACGTGAGCAAAACGGAACGCCGCCGTAGCAAACGTGTTGGCGATGCTCGGGTCAACGTCTGGATCGTAGCTCTGGTAGGGGGGCATCAGCTGGGATGTGGCGCTCTCACCAAGCACCCGAGGCAGGTAGTGCTCCCAGGTTAGGATCTGGGAAAAGGAAATGGGAAACCGGCTTGGAGCGATTCGGATGTGGATGAACCAGGTTTTAAAGAAGAGCATTGTGTATTTTTCCAGGCACTTGGCGCCAATTTACAGCACAATACAGTAACTATGTTGCCTTCAGTTGTTAATGTTGTATAAATTATATATTAAACATAACTTTAAAAAATGTGACTTTGTAATTTGACATTTTGAAATTGGTCTTTTAAATATGATTGGCATCATTTATTTGAGACTCAGTGAACAATATTATGTGCCTTGTTTATTGTTTTTATCTTATTTTTTAATATATTTTTATTATCCAGACACCGTATGTGTCTGGATTAAAGATATGATATGATCCTAACAGTTTTTATGGCTGTGTAACATTTATGACTCTAAGTGAGTTCTGTGTAGCTGAACTGAATGTTTGGATGTGAAGTGTGCAGACGCCCAGTCCAGGTGGACCTGCTGCAGACGCCTGGTGGACCTGCTGCAGACACCTGGTGGACCTGCTGCAGACACCTGGTGGACCTGCTGCAGACACCAGGTGGACCTGCTGCAGACACCTGGTGGACCTGCTGCAGACACCTGGTGGATGGCTCCGATTATCTTCCTGGCCTCCTGATAGAGGGTCTCCGGACTCCAGTGAGGGTTGAGCTGGTGCAGCTCCTTCACCAGCCGGTTGTGCTCTCTCAGAAAGAGTGTGTGCAGCACAATCAGTCCCAGATGTTCATTGACTCTTGAATCCCCTGGAAAATATATATTTTTAAAAGTTTTACCTGCATCCAAGTCTGCAGAATAAGTCACAACATTCACTTGCTCACCGGCGTGAAAGCATGAAGTGGTGTTCTCCCTGAGTGCCGATCTGCTCAACTCCCCAGCGGCAGAGAAGTTACGGGGGCCGCAGGGGTCAAGGTGAGCCTGGACCCGGGGCAGGAATGGCATGTATGGCAGCTCCTCATCCCAGTGCCGGGAGTTGAGGGCCATGGAGCCCAGAGGAGACGAGTGGTTCCTGAGAGCCGAGGCCAATCCGGGGGAGCTGCCGTACACCATGCTGGCGTCTACGAAGGAGGTGATGGCGTTGAGCTGCTCCCGCTGGCGAGGAGGCAGGACTCCGTCATCACAGCTGGGAGCGGAACGGAAGAAAGGCATACAGCTCTGGATGCCGCTGCGAGGATCGGATAGCGGAATCTGAGAGGGAAATTCTAACTTTTAATGCTGCAGAGGAATCCGCTCCATGTTAATTCACTTCTAACCATGATAAATATAACAGCCATCTAACTGTAGAACAGTAGAAACTGCAGAAAACTGTAAAAGTGATAAGTCCATTTATTCTTTAACTGTTCTTAGTATTAGATGAGTTTACTTGATATGCACAAAAAATTGTGTTTGCCTCGTGTGAAATAAACAGCCTTGCCAAAGTATGCAGTATTTTTTTACATTTTACCACAGAAAAACTTTCATATATTTCATTGGGATTTTGACAGACACATCTAGATACTGGATTTTACTCCTATTCTTCTTTGCAAACAAACTCATGTTCTGTCAAGGTTTTGTTTTCACAGTCGTGGACAGAGCTGCACTCTCCTGACCAATCCGTTTTGCTTCTTGGTCTGCAACAAACCTCTGAGGTGTTTGCACAACAGCAGGATTACACAACAGCACAACTGTTCTTCAAGTGACTTCTGGTGGCACTGGATTTTGTTTAGGGGTATCAGAGTAAAGGAGGCTGAAAGCATTACTCCTAAGTGGAGCATAACTTCCACTTAGGAGTAATGCTCTACTTTTGTGTTGGCTCTTTGGATCTTCCACATTGGCTCATAATAATTTTTGTTAAATAAAAAGTGCAGAACAAACAAATTTTTAAAAAAAATAACAAATGCAGATTTTAGCAGTTTTCTTTTTGTTTGTTGTATGTAATAAATCCAGCATTAAATTTCCACAACTGCACAAGTCTCAGTAATACTTTTTATGATTACATGGGAAACTATGTACTTTTGCTATTTAAATCTTTTTCCACAAACATCAGAATTCCATGAAGAAAGTCTATCAATCCTCTTTTTGAAAACATTTTTGTAAAAATGGCGGTTCGTTAAAGATGACCACTGATTTCCTACAGTAGACATTCATTAAAATGTTTTAACTTCTCTTTTCACAAAAGATTATGCAACGTTGAGGGAGTTTCATTTAGTTGGACTGAGTGCAAAAACAGCTCCTTAGTTTGTGCAGACGCCTCGGCTAGAACTTAAAACCAGGTGTAAAATAATACATAGCAAAAACGTTTAAGGGATGTGAACATGTCCTTGTTTAAGGCATCTATAAATGATTGTACAGCAAAAGAGTCCAATGATTTATGGAGAACTTTACAGCTTAAAAAGAGGAATAGGTTTCCTTTTCCTAAGCCAGTTCTCTCAGGAGTTACTTCACACCGAGCGATAAATAGTTCCTTGTTGCACAAAAGCAGAGCAGGCATAATTTCAAAACGTTTAGTGATCGTACTCTAAAACGTCACATAACGCATCATATTAGAATTTGTGAAACAAACGAGAGCAGGGAGTGAAGTGCACCTGAATGGGGAAGCAGGGCGAGTCCCGGCTGCAGCTGCGGGCGCAGTCGGCGCCCGTCTTGAAGACGGACGTGCTGGGGCTCTGAGGGGTCAGCACCAGGTCGTGGTCTATCCACTGACCCCAGTCCACCAGCAGGTGGGACAGAGTGGAGTCCACAGAGATTTTATCGTTGTGAGTAAACAGCACTTCCTGCGACACGAGCCTCACCTGGATGATTAAAAAAAAGATGGACATTGATGGAGTTGGAGGCAAACAGATGGGGGGACGGGGGGGGAGCGTGAGCTGCAGCGGGGCCCTTACAGGAGGCAGGCTGATATTATGGTAGGTGTGTTCAGGGTCCCAGCCTCTGGGCGTCCCCCACACATCCTCATATTCTGGAGGCAGCCAGCGGGAATATGGGATGTTTGCAGCGCCCCATCTCGGATGTTGTCTGAACGGGAAACACAACAGACATAATTTATTTGGATTTTATATAACAGACCAGCATAAAAGTACTGCTAAATTCATCATCCGGAAATAGAAAGAGGACGGCACAACTGCAAATATGCCAAGACAACTCCACTTACTGAAACTGAGCAAAAGGACAATTCAGATGCAACCAAGAAGGCTGGAAAAGCTGCAGAGCCACAGCTCAGGTGGGAGAATCTCACTCAAAACATTTGATCTACAAAGTGGTGACAGTATCATGCAGTGGAGATGTTTTTTCTTCAGCACTGACAGGAAAGCTGGTCAATGGAAACATGGATGAAGCTAAATACAGGGCAATACTGCAATAAAACCCATTAGAGTCTGGGGCAAAGGCGCATCTGCGCTAATAAACAGCCTGAACTGCAATAATTCACTTTTAGATATTAATGTGTTGGGCTTAGATTGAGCTGCTTTGCAAAGAGAAATTATAATAATAAAAAATCTAAATCTTTAAATGTGCTACATATTTTATCCGCAAAACATTTTTGAAAAGAATGCATATTTTTTTCTTCCACTTCAGTCTGTGTAAATGTTATCACATAAAATCCAACTAAACTATCTCGAAGTCTGTGGTTTTAACAAGTTAAAACGTAAATAAAAGGTTTAATGATTATGGATGGTTTTGCATATCGGTGGCTTCACTCTCACCTGTTGTTGCATTCGCCTGTGATGGACCTGTAGCGCTCAGACATGCAGTCTGTCTGACAGCTGAGGCTGTGCAGCTCAGCGGAGCAGCCCGTCATCTGCAGCAGATTTTCCACGTCTCCTTCACTCAAAAGCTCTAAGAAATAAATACAAACAGCATTTTATAAAAGCTAAAATTGCCCTGAACCTCCATTTAGATTTGAGTTTCAATAAAATGTGCAACTGTTTAAACAGTAGATGCATTTACTGAGCTGCAGGTTCAGAAATGTGTTTGGTACCATACGGCTTGGGCTGCATCATGGTGTTGGTGTAGACCATCTCTCGGATCAGCTCCACCGTGTTGTCCAGCAGCTCAGCAGCTCGAATGTGAGTCCGGGTTCTGGCTTCAATCTGTTTGAACTGGGCCAGCAGGTCACTGGGTTTCAGGGCACCTTCAGAAAAAGACTTCTTCACCCTGAAAATGTGATTTTTTCCCAATGAGACTCTTTCAGATTTATCTTAACCCATAATCAAGAGGTCTTACCTCTCAGACGTGTGGACATAAGCAGCATCAGTCAGCTCAATGGCTCTCTGAAGAGCCCGACGGACGTACGGTGAACCCAAATATGCAGTTTCTGAGAACAAAGGTACAGTCAGCGCGGCTCTTTCTAGAAATAATCAACTAAAACTCCTACCTGAGCTGTTGCCAAATGCTGTGCTCATCACAGTGTGGTCCGGAAAGGCGACCAGGACAAGAGCAAGTCCAATTAGAGATGCTGACATCTGAAATTGAGACATGTGGCTGATTCAAGCAAACTGCATGAGGCTGTTGGATAAAAAGCAGTAAAGAGAGAAACTCACTATGGGCGTTCTGTAAGTCGTCAAATCTCAACAATGCTTGGAAAATGAGTTGTGATCACAGCAGACCTCACTCGTACTCGTCCTCAGAGGCATCGGGTGTTATAGTGTCGCGGACACACAGGCAGCGGAGATAACAGGTATGTGCAGAATCCCCTTATCGCTGCCCCTGGTGACAGCCAGGCAACATCAAACGCCGGGCTCCCTACCTCCACCCAAAAACCTTTCAAATCTGTCTTCTGGCCCACGATGAAAACCTTCTGTCAAACCAACAATTCCAATAAATTCCTGAACTGTACAGTTCCCTCATAACAATTCAGAGAGCAACACCGAGGCCAGAGCCAGAGGTTTTACGGTTTAATTAAATTTAGAGAAAAACAGTGTTTCACTGACAAAGTGCCTGAACAACCCCAGAGCTTTTCCAGATTACTTTACAGCCAACTACTTCAATGTATTTTGGTGGGATTGGGGATGCTTTGGTTTTCCACAGTTTTTGAAGCAGAAAGTGTACATGTTGTAAATTTTGTGGTTGTGTTTGATAAGTGTAAAGTGAAGGGATGGGGATTGAGAGTTGTCGTAACTTTGATTTTTGTAGCCTACAGTTTCTGGCGTTTGATTTGTCAGAGACCTCAGTTACCTTCTGAGGTCTCCGACAATCAGAAGACCTCACCTGGATGTTGTGTGGTTCAGACAAAGTTAGACATTGTATTGTTTTGTTCTTGTCCTTACATGTTAATGGCTCTTTCTCCTCTAGCTCATCCACTGTCTCCTGTGTTTTAGAGATGGATTCTTTTACAGTGGCCAGTGATGCATCTTGCACATCAGTAGTCAGTATTAAACATGACATTTGCAAAGCTTGAGATATTTTAAGAACCTAGTCCTGCTTTAAACTTCTCCACAACTTCCTCTCTCCATCTGCCGTTTCTTATTCATGTTTGTTCACTAATAAAATTCTAACAAACCTCAAGTCACCACAACTTTACATAGACGTATCAGACTAAACACAAATGCACATTTGAAAACTATGCAAGCTTTTCTTTCCTCTGCACGTTTATCACAAAAACTCCCAATAAATAAATGAATAAGATGAACTGTTGCATAATGTCAGAGCATACCTTTGAAAGTCTCTGTATGTTTAGTACAGTCGTGTTTGTGTCGTGCCTAGAGTTAATCTCATCATTCCTGTGCCAACGAAGACGGGAAGACGAGGGAGGTAGGGATTCTGGGAAATAATGAGGAAGCTAAACTTGACATTAAAAAAACAGGAGGGAAAATCCGTAACGATATCAGTTAATTACAGTGGGAGTCTTCACTCAGCGACTGTTCCCATTTTGAGCCTTTAAAAGTCGTGATGTGGTGAAAAAGTCACCCCTTTGATCCTCCAGGTGTGTGATAGCATCAAATGGGTCACTGACCTCATTTCATTACTCTGTTATTAATTTGATCGCATTTGACCCACATTACCTGTCCTCTAATGTTGGGAGTGGAGAAACAAGCTGCTTTTAAATTAAAATACAGCCAGAGAAGTAATATTTGATATTCTGCTCACTTTGTTCATTTTCCCTTTTTGCAACAACAAACAATTTTTTTTATGGGGGCAAGAACGTTTTCTGCAGCTGTGGCTTTAATACATGCAAGCAAAAACACTTTGATCACAATCATTTTCACTAAAAGCATTCAATCTCTAAAACAAACAAAGCGAAACTGTTTTCACAGACAACTTTATTCAACTAATAAAAACTGCTTTTAACACAATCGTTTAATTAATTCAAGTATATTTTTTCAAAAGGAGGAAGACAATTTCTTTGGCCTTTAATACAGATAAATGTGCAAGCATGCAAAAACAGTCTGAAATATTAGACAGGAAACGATGCAAAGTAATGCATGAATACTGATAGTCAATGGCATGGCGTTAAAAAGGCAACACTTGTAACTAAAGCATTAGTATCTTTGTTGTGTAGACAGAAATCACAGAGATGTTAAGTTAGGGATTGATGCACCAATCAGGTTTTAGGCATGCTGAGACCAGAGGAACCGATCACAACGCTCCAGCATGGTCTGAATCATCGCCCTGAAAATCATAAACAAGACAAAACATATTTGACTCTGAAAAGATCCTTTTAAGACTCCAATCTGTTACTGCAGATACTTCAAATGTGTTTTAGCTTCTAATCACAACACAAAACCTGCATGTAATGTCTTAAAATGATAAAATATCTTTAAAAAAAAACAAACTTAAAATTCCCACTTGCAGGACTAGTAAAGAATTATCTTATCTTAAAGTTAATAATTTAAATCTACTCCTAGCTTCAACCAAACAAGGAAAAAAAAAACAGATGGATCAAAGTAGGATGTTGTTTACTAGACTATTTCTGTATATCTAATAGACAAAATTGTTGTTTTTTTTCTACATTGTTTCATCGACAGTCTGACCCACCTCTGCCTCCTCTCTGCGACTCTCAGCAGGTCACACACCAGCTCGGAGTGGGCTGAAAGGACCACCTGCACTCCACATTCACGCAGCAGCTCCAGGGCTCGGTCGGGCCCCAGAGTCCGAGCCAGCAGGAGGGTCAGACTCTCCGGGCTGATCCGTCCTTCGCAGTCCGTGGCGCCGTTGGACCAGCTGCTCCCGTTGACATCTGTGGCCGGCGGTGGGTCTGCCACACGGCAATACTGCTGAGAGAGCTGGATCAGCAGCTTCCACTCGTCCAGGTTCTGAGGTTCAACACCTGAAAACGTGTGGAATGATCAGAGGCACATGTGTCAAACTTAAGGTTCGGGGGCCAAATCTGGCCCACTGCAGCTTTTCAAGTGGCCCTCTTTCTTCTAGAGGGCCGCTTAAAGCAGACCTTCAAAAACCAGTTGAATGTTTAAAACAATATTTTATCAATTCAATCAAAGCAGTTTTTGTCTACAAACTGCCAAATTACATACATGTGAAAATCAATATTAGTTCATTTTTAGAGGTACTCGTCAAACGCAGAGATTAGTTTTACCATCAGGATCCTCCAGGAGGCTGAGGTCATCCAGCTCACAGATGGTGGAAAATGCTTCAGTGCGACGCTGCAGCTCTTTGCAGAGGTAGAGGTAACCCGTCCAGTACCTGCACAAGCATGGAGATGTCATGTTGTGGCATACCGCCAACATCATGAAGACTAGACAGTTTTTCTTTGGTGGAAAAAATAAAAATAAAAAAAATCAGAAATACCCGTGACTGCGGCACATCTCATTCATCTTCTCTTTAGATGAAATGTCTGCAGGAAGTCGAATGAGCAAAGACAAGAAACGTCCGTAGCCCCAGGTGAAACAGTGTGAGCGCCACCTGCAGCAGGAAACACACTTTTCATCTTCTCACATTCCTGTGCTTTTGTCTTTACTCTAAACATGACTGAAACTGACAATTGCTAAAATTAGATGTTCTTCACTCAATCACACAGTTCACAACCAAAGAGTGTTACTGTGTCCCACCCAGGTTAATCAAGCTGGACATCATCTAATTTTGGACACCAGTCAATTTCTGTCAGTGTCTCAAAATTCTGTTTCCGATGATTGAACACGTGAAAGTGTAATACCTGGGCCTTCCATCAGAGGTCAGGGTATCGGCGTGTTGAGGGGCATCGTGAGTCAGGGCCAGCTCCAGCCAATCCTGTCTCAGCGATTCAGGTTCAAGGAGCGACTGAAGAAATGACAACCTAACAGAAAAAACTTGCTGAAATATAGATTCACTCAGCAAAGTATCCATGTTAATCTACAAAAAAAAAACCCCACAAACATATAAAACGCACCTGTGCTCCTCAGCTCTTGAATGTACAAGATTATCCAGGTACGCCAGGAAGTGGCTTCGCTGAGCCACCGTCTCCACGTCAGCAGGAGTTATAATGGGATAGAACTGGGAAAACGAGCGTACAGCTGCCTCACCATGCTTCTCGTATAGCCTGGAATATAAGAGAAAACTTTATGTATAAAAAGGTCCAACATTACTGCTGCAAGGGATTAACCACCTACAAAACAGTTTTTCAACAATGTCTAAAACACATCGTCTTGTTTGAAAAAAAAAAAAAAAAAAACAAAACATCAGCAAGTCAGTAAATATATCAGGGCATCTGAAGGTTTCAGCAAGCCAAATTTAAGACTTTTAAAGATCTTTTCAATGCAACCTTGAATGAAATTTAAGACCAATAAAACTATAAATATGGGGATGGTTGGGTGGTCCGACTGCATTACAATCAAGAAAAGCAAAAACAGTGAAACTAAAACCTTCTGGGGTTTGTGGCTCTTGGCAGCAGCTTTGTGCTTCACATACAATGGCTGTCTACAGCCTTAACCACCAGAGTGCAAAGCTTAAAGTTTGTTTTGTTGTTTTTTTTTTTTTTTTTTTTTGCACAAAACGCATCATCATCCAATCAACTGGCGATAAAACTGAACTTACTCATAGCAGATACCAAAAAGGTAGCTAGATAGCAAGCAAGTGTATATTAGCAGCTAGTTAGCAGTAGCATCAACCACCTCGAGTCACAGAACATAATGATGTCAAACATTTGCCTGACAAAAAAAGGTCTGAGTGACAAAATCCCCCGATATAAAGTATACGATATTAGTCATGTGACAATAACATTTAAGATATCTGATTAACATAATAATAATTTAAAGACATTTTAAGTTGTTAATTTTACACACGTACTTTTTTAACAATGAACGGACACCTTGTATGTTAGATACGTTAATACTTTAAAATCACACATTCGTACCTGTGGAAGTGAGCGAGGAGGTGCGGCGCACGCCAAGGCTGCAGCTCTCTGAGGCTTCGCAGAGATTTCAGCAAATCTCCTCTCTGAATAATTTCAACCACCTTACTGGACTGAGTGAGCGCTAGGTGAAACAAAAACAATGTTGTGTAACATTAATTGATTGTTTTAAATACTAAAACTGCTGGGGTTTTTTTTTTTTACATGTATGTTTGTCATTTTTAAAGACAAGCTTCTAACCTAGCATGGCCTCAGAGAACGAGCTCATCATCTCGGGCTGCTGCTGATAACAAAGAAGGCACATTCTTCTCACTCGCTCCTGGTCCAGAAGGAAGAAGTAGCGACGCAGGAAAGTTGCGCTTTCCAGCACCTCCTGCTGGTGCCTGAAGCAGCTGAGCTCTGTGTAAAGAGTGGCCAGCTCGCTGAGATTAGCTTCCAGATCTGATGGTAAAGGC